AAAAAAAAAAAAGAGAAAAACGATGATGCTCCAATGAAAAGCGGCTCGGCCGTTAACAAAATGGGAATACTAGTGAATCCTATAATGGAAATAACTGAGAATCTGACGCGGTGTAAATCAAAAGCGAGCCTCCGTATTCAATCCAGGTATAGAACACTCGAGGAGTTCACAAACAAGCTGCCCGAATCCCGAGAACCGTCGCTTTTGCAAATTTATAATTTGCCGCAGGAGAATCCGAGCATGTTCAATTAATAAATTAACGAAGCAAGAAAAACTTCGGATAGATCACGAACCATTAGTAGACTCAGTTTTGCTGCTTTATATTTATACAAAGTTAAGAGATTATCGTTCAAATTATTATGAATCTTGATAAATTTAAATCTATGTAGTTTGGTGATTTTTAATTTTCACTGGTCGTTCATAGAACACCGGTTGATATTTTCGATAAAGTTTCGATGCAATTTCGATGAAGAATATCTTCGGCAAGTGAAACGAAACGTCAGCTCGTCGCGAGTGAAGTTTATTGTCGGCCATTCGATTCGTTTCAAGTGCGACGACGATTATTAATGCCGCATAATATCGCGTAATAGATGGTATAACTCGCATGGCAGTAATCGATATTGTATAACACAACAATGCGTGACACTATGCGGTAGTAATGAATGCCCTGTAATACATTGTGTCGGCGCCATTGCATAACACATTGCTCCCGGCGATTAACAATTTGATATTCATACGTTACGCCTACATGCTCCGGGGGAAATATTTTCTAAATATTGTATCGAGCCCACGACGAAAAATACGAAGTTTATTTGACGTTGATGAAAGCATAGTCCATTGATCTGACTATGAGTGAAAGCAATGTTTCGAAGTGGAGAAGGCTATGAGTGGCAAATTTTTAGTCATCTGTCTACGTGTTTTACTTGAAAATAACAACGACACACAGGGGAAATATATTTTTGCTCGTATGTATACGAGTGATCTAGGGACAAACTTTGCTAGAATCAGCAAGTTAAAATAAATTGGGAATTTTTTTTCTTTTTCCTCGAAAATTTGATGCTTGCCACTTACGATGTTCTCTACAAGTTTAAAATTTTAAAATTGTTTGGCAAAGTTGTTCAATTTTAAAGTTAAAGTTTAAAAGTAGAAATAGAGAATGTAACAGTTTGGAAAATACTATATTAACATATATATAAAATATTATAGACTATATTAACGTGTTGTATGTGATCATATATTATATATATTAGATCTATCATATATATCGTAACATGTATATATATCATATATAAGATATCATAGACTTGTATATCATATCATGTATATATATCATATATGAGATATAGACTTATATATCATATCATGTACATATATCATATATAAGATATTATTTATAGATATTATAGATCATATATTTCACATACAAGATATTATAGACTATATTAACATGATGTATGTGATTACATATATCTCATATCATATCATATATCATGTATATCATATCATATCATATGATATATCATATCATATATCATGTATATATATATCATATATAAAATATTATAGACATATATCATATCATGTATATATATCATATATAAGATATAGACTAATTTATCATATCATGTATATATATCATATATAAGATATTATATATAGATATTACAGATCATATATATCATATATAAGATATTATAGACTATATTAACATGATATATGTGATCATATATATCATATCATATCATATATAACCTCCAAGGAAAATTCCTTCAATTTCTACTGGCCGAATCTAACCATTAATTGATAATGGTATTCGAAAGTGATCGTTCTTATGTTTGAAAAATTATTCAACAACTACGTAATTAAAACGGCAGCAGAGAACGTAATAGTGGAAACGTCACTGCGCTATTTAATCAAGATAAATTGATACCTCTGTCAGACTGAATCCTTCATTAATATCTCTCCGCACATTAGCTGCAACTGTAATCAATACACAGTTATACGACATTCACTCGGCGAGCTACTATTTAGTTCTGGTGTAAGATCGACCGAAACGGAATATCAACGTGATACTGAAAGCCAACGGGGGGGACGGAATTCAGAGATGCCCCGTATGTCAAATTCAAACAGACGTTCAAATGAGAACTGAAAATTCACGAAGGATTCAAACGGAATGACATTCGAGTGAGACGTGAAAATTCACGAAGGATTCAAATCATATTGAAATGGGAACTCAAAACTCACGAGAACTTCAGACAGAAGTGGCATTCAAATGGGAACTCAGAAATTCACGAAAAATTCAAACAGAATGACGTTCAAAGGACCTAAGCAGATAAGAGCTGTTGGAAGGGAAATCGATGGAGCCGAGCTGGTGGAAAGCAGCGCGATAGCCGCGCGATATACCGAATAGTACTACGAACGGAGGAGATGTAATCGGCTTAAAATTGCCAGTACGGGGCCAGGATCATTTATCGAGCGGCGCGGTCTCGCCCCGATAAGAGAGCAAGGAATGCACTTAATAGGGTTTCGCCGGAATTCGAGGCAGGCCCCGGAGACTGATGCCAGAACGGACGTTCAGTTTGTCCGTCTGCACGCTCGTGCGCGCGTGTGTGCACGTGTACACGCACAGGTAACATGGGACGCACGTACAAAAGCCGTGTGTGTGTACGTGTGTACACGTATCTCGGCAGTCGCCGCGCCGCCTGTTGCCCCCCTCCCCCCTCCCTCCAGGCGTATGTACCATTACAGTGTATATAATCGGTGCGGGTCAACACGTCGACAGAGAACGTCCATTACTTCATCAAACCCCCTGGTCATCGTCGACGGATCCGTTCACCGCCAATTTGCCAACAATAGCGACGCTGGACCGTGTATATAAACGGCTTGACACTTCGGCCATACCAAATGGTACAGCCTACGAGTACATTGCATCCTGGCCAGTGATACGCTCGCTCGCTAGCTTCCTTGCGGCCGACTTATCCGCAGCTCCACCACTTAATACGCGATCTCGCCGATTCGCTTCTCTCTTGCAACTGGCTGATT